GTTTGAAAATAAATAATCATTTTATTTGGAGATAAGATTCGATTAAAAATATCTTATATTTTTTAATGGAAGGAGTAATAGTTTTTGTTTTACAGATCATAAGAGTTGTACAAAAAAATCATAATTTGTTAAGTATAATTTTATTATTAAAAAATAAGTTCTCAAAATAACAAATCCAATTCATAACTTTTATACAAATAATCACACCTTTTATTTCAAGAATGGTAAGAATTAAACAAAAAATTATAACTTGTCACTAAAGATAAAATAGTCTTTTCAATTTAAAATTTATTGATAAAGAAATTCTTAAAGACTTTAATGAAATTATAATATTTTAAGGAATTAAATTATTATTTATATAATTTAAAAGGATTTTATTATCATTTTCTCTTAAAAAATATAGTGTACTTTAAAAATAAAAAAATGTTAAAAAGCTCTGTTCATTTTCTTTTTTTTTTGGAATAAAAATAGAATAATTTTGAAAACATTTTTATATAAGAAACTTGTATTTTTTTATTTTTTAAAAACAAAAACAAAATAGTCTTCTGATTGTATTTATTAGTCACTATCACTATATTTTATCAGGATAAAAGAAAATCTTAAAATTTATTAACCAATATATAAATTTAATAATTTTTTAAAATTATTCTTGTTAAATATATATATACACTTTAATAATATATTTTTTTTATAACATTTAGTAAAGGGTAAGTGAAAAAAATTGTGATAAAAATTTAATAAATAACTTATAAATATGAAAAAAAAAAATTTTTACTTTGTAAATAAGATCAAAGGGAGTAAACTCTAAATATAGACTCCTTAATTAAGATCAAGACATGCCCATGGTTAAAGAGAACTTGATGTTTTTACAAATGCCTAATTTCTGTTACTCTGCTTGCTGATGAGATCATCACATCCGGCAATATTTGACTTTAAGGTTCAAACTCTTATTAAATATGAGCCATGTATTTGTCCATTAAATTAAATGTATTTTATAAATGTGATTGGATTGGGTGAAGATAACCTGATGTTTCTTGAATAATGTGATGGATCCGCATGGACCGAAAAAAGCATGTTATAAAAATTTGCATTTGAAAAGCAATACCCAACAATAATATCAACTAATGCTAATAATATATATTTTTTTCATTTATTGGATATGTAACCAACTAGTTGAATATTAATCATGCATCCAGAATTGACTTTGAATGTTTTAAACAGGCATCTTCCTACGGCATGCAAAGTCACCCCCCGTCCCCAGATAATTAATTATGTCACATTATGAGGATGTTTGTAGTTGAAGGCTTTAACTTATTCACCAGCTTTGAATATAGTAACTCATCTTTTCTAAAATAGTCCATCATTTTTTTTAGACAATATCGTCATTATATTGCTTTAAATTAATCTCCCAAAAACTCCCCCACCTGGCCACGCCTAGCTGGAATTGCTTAATTTCTCTATCCCACCATTCTGTCCTTTTGTTTTGTTAAATTATTAGTAATCAACATTTTTAATTATCATATGATTTATGCGAACAAAACAAGTGAAATCATCTATGCGTAATCTTACATGATAATGCTTTCCTGTAATTATATGAGTGTTATCAAAACCTTAACACTGATTTATTTAATAAAAAAATTGACAAATCAATATTTCATTTTGTCTACATTAATCTCTACACAGCCAGTCATTTTGAAAACCAGCCAAGAATGTTAAAAAAAGAAGAAGAAGAGAAATTGAGAGGTTTATTCTAGTGTTTCCGTTTTCGGTGGTTGATGTCATTTAATTATTAAAAATAATTGAGCCACATTTTAAAACTTCAACCAATGGAATCTATAATCTCGAGTCACTAGCTAGATTTTAATAAAAATACTTAGAGAGGTACAACTGATAAAGCCTGACTTTAATTAATTATTAATTAATATTGTACAAAAAATGAGAAATGATGATAATAATTTTATTAATTAATTTATAGTAGCACTCTGCTATGATGTGACGAGGATGAGGCCAAACAAGGGAGTAGCAACCACATTCATGTACAAAGAGGATGAGGCTAAGCGAGGGCTTTTGTGAGAACATTTTGTGGAACAATATTAATACAGATCTGTTTGGCTCATTACACGTAATAAAGGCTTTTAATTAATTAGGCTTAACTTTTATAAATAAAAAATTAAGGTTGTTGCGCGAATGATAGCAATCAGAATGGCATATATCGCCCACTGTGTCTATATGTTGATTTATTTATTAGAATTAGTTCACTCACAGTGCAACAACCAAATCGAATCTATGAATATCTTATGGAACAATGCTCAGCTGCTTGGTCACTGTTTATAAACAAAAATGAGGTTGTTGCTAATGATAACAATAACAACGGCATCATACTGTACTCGTATGATTAAGACGCAGAAGCAAGTGGCACTCTCTCTGGCAAAAAAAAAAAAAAAACAGTGCTCAATAAAATAGGCTAAATGAAGTACTCTCCCATGTCTGTTATTTTTTTTTAAATGATAAATTTATCCTTAACATTTCCCATATCCATGACTTTTGGGCACAACGTTTCCTTTCACAACATTTCAAAATGGTAGGGTGTCTTGTGTAATATTTTTGTCCTTTTATTCAATTTTTTTAGAGGTCATATTGCACACTTTCGAAAATGTTGTAGAGAAACATTGTATAAAAAAAAAATTTAGTATCTTAATCATTTTTGTACTTACTTCCTCTGATTCAAAATATAAATAATAAATTGTCATTTTCATAAAAATATATATATATATATTTTTTATCTCTACTCCTAGTTGTCAATTATGCATTTCATGTTGGGTGAGAGATATATTTATACAGAGGCCTATATTGATAAATGTAATGAGTAAAATGATAATTTTTTTTACATGTACTAAATTGCTTATATTTTGACTAAAAATTAATTAAGAGAAAATGTTTATATTTTGAACAGGGGGGAGTATAGTCTAAGATTGAGTGTGCCCTTTAATTTTGTTTTTAACTGTGAAAACCAATAAAATTAATTAAATATAGTCTGAATTTTAATTTTTTAATATAAATTTATATGTTTTAAAAATATATTCGAAGAGTGAGACAATTAGGGGTAATTTTAGCATTAAGTTTTATTAATAAATCAATACATTTCTCAAAGCATGTATAGTATAAAATATCAAATTACTAAAAAGAATCAAATAAAACGAGATTATAATGTGCTTGACACAGCACGAGGGGAAGAGAAAATTCTATGCCAGTTCCATCTGTGTGTGTGTTTGTGCAATAATGTTGGACAATGGACGCAGATAATTAGCACGGGTGGCCCCATATGACCATCACGATCATAATGATGAGGGGACAGTCTTGCACTCTTGCTTCACACCTCTCCTCGTATCCCCAAATATTCTTATATTTCATTATCATTCTTGTTTTTTTTTAAAAAAATATGATATTGATAATCAAGATATACTACACTTTAATGATTGAATCGCATAACCTATTATGATAAAAATGCATGCACGTATTTTATTTTCCAAACACAAATACGAATGAAAGGACAAAGAAGGAATGATTTGTGCGAGGGGAAGAAGTTTTGTGATTCTGGTTTTGATTTTTGTGTGGTAGAATAAAACGTGGCAAAAGTATCTCACTTATAATTGTCAAATTCTCAAATTAACTATTTAAATTTAATAATTTTATATTTTTAACTTATAAAATCTTATCAACTCATTTATAAATTTAAATTAAATATAAACATAATTAAACTTACAAATTTATCTCTTAATTTATCATTTTTAAATTTTTAACTTATAAATTTGCATCAACTAACTCAAATTAGATGCAAATTTAGTTACAATTTTAATTCCACTCATGCTTGGCACTGATTAGGAATTGATCCAATTTAATTAAAATTTTTAAGTTTAATTTTGAGCATACCACAGCAACTAAATTCTTATTGGCGACATATGCATGCTTCAAAAGATGCTCATAAATTGCTAATTAAATTAGTATGGGTTAAAGATCTAGAAAAATATTTGAGCAAAAGTAAAAATTGAAAAAAAAGAAAGAAAATTCGATTCAAAAGATGCTCATGAATTGCTAATTAAATTAGTATGGGTTAAAGATTTAGAAAAATATTCGAGCGAAGGTAAAAATGGCAAAAAAAGGAAGAAAATTCGATTCCGGAACCTGTTTTAGGGTTGACCAGATGTTGCTGTGCTTCCAATGGTTGCATCGGATTCAGAGCCTGGTCTTCCCACCCCATTGACCTCATTTTCATTTCTCATCAGATAAATTAAATAATTAATTAATCGATTATCAGAACTTTTTTCCATTTTCACGCCAATTACACCGTCCGGCTGCGTGTTTTTCGACGCCACTCGCCAGTCGCCCCAAGGGGCCATGATCCCTCCCCACCAAGCAACGGCGTCGCTCTCGCCTTCTGCATCAGATGATATCATTAAAAAAGATAGAATAATTTATTACATAGAAAATAAATATATTTTTAAATTTTATTACAGTCATATTATTTAAGTTAAATAAAATAAAACTGTACATCTGGTCAAAAAACATTGTACACACTTTTAATAAGTATAGTTAATTGTTAAAAACTTTGTTTTTTAAAAGATAGATGGTAGGTTTTAAAACCTGTGAAATAATTTTTTTAATTTAAAAAATTGAAAGATTATGTGGTCTAGTATTTTTTAAAGAAAAATTTAAATAAATTGAAAACATAAAAATATGTAGTATTAACAGAATATAAAATGACTTATTTATTTTTAAAAAATATGAATATGAATAAATTTTAAGTACAAAATATTTAATTTAAATAATAAAAAAAATATATTGTAGGAAATTATATAGTCATAAAAATAAAAGTTAGAGGAAAAAAAATCAGATATTAATATTAATAGTTTATGTTAGAGGACCTAAAAAAAGAAAAAAAGAAGAAGAAAAGAGGAAAAAGGAAAATGCATAGGATGCGGTTGTTGCCAAACACAATCTAATCGAGTCGAACAGCGTGAGAGTGGACAGAAACGACACCAACCAAACAAGGCATGGAAAGAAACTGACGTTCCTCGTTGTGTTGTGCAGCCTGCAGCTTTCCTTTCACAAAAATGTCTTGTTCCTTCTTCCATGGCCGCATCGTTTCCTTTCGATGCGCACGAGGGTTCTTACTTCTCTTCTAAACTCGTAATCTCAACCATTTGCTTCCTTCTTCCCCTCTTTTTAATTATTAAAAAAAATACCTTTTCTTTGCCCGAAAATTACCTGAAGTTGATCAATTAATTAAGATTTAATTCCTCCCCTTTTACCTTCCTCAAAGGTTCAAGCCCAAAGCTCTATAATGGCCGCCTCAACTCTTCCCTTCTCTGTCTAATATTTGCTTTCATTTCCTTATCCGTCTATCTCGAGGTGAGCTTGTCTGTTTCGTATGCTTTTTCCCCCTTTGAATTTTGGCTCTTCTAATTTCAGCTGATGTATCGGGTCGATGGATATTTTTTTTTCTTTCTCTCAGTCGTGGTGATGTTTCATTCTTGGAGAAATGATTTTCCAAGTCCCGTTCTCTACCTCACTTCAAAATTTCTACTTCTTTACGTGTTTGTGGGGTGCTTTCTTCTTTATTATATTTCCGCCCTTTTTTTCTTTTGTTTTTGGATACTTTAATGTTGTTTGGGATGCTTTGATCACATAGTTTTGTGCTGTTTATGGGTCTTCCAATTGTTTCATCTTGTCTTCAAGCTTGTCTTTTATTTTGTTTACGCCCCTCAACCCCAAGATCGGAGCTAGAGCAGAAGAGAGTAAAAAATGAACAGGAGATGGTTGACTGATGCATCCTGCGAAGAAAGTTTGGCATCGGATATTGTATTTTTGAGCTAAAAAGAAAATTGTGCTTCTGCCTCTTTGTTTATCACAAGTTGTATGGGGAAGCTCTTGCAGATTTGCAATTTTTTTTTTTTTGAAGAGAGTCTGAGGAGAAAAAAGGAGTCAGAAGTGATGGGATCTCCGATCAAGTATTAGCTTTTTTTCATTTTTCGCTTCGCTTTCTTCTTTATCATATATTAAAAGTTCAGATGGCGCAAATACCTCTGGAAGTAGCTTGGATAGATGATAGCTAAAGGCGGTTATAACGGATGCAATCTCCAGTCTTCAAGAGTACATGATTAACATAAATTAGAAGTTTTAGCACTAAAAAATGTTTGTAAGCGAATAGTCAGTTTCTGAGTCTTGAATGCTGGATTTTTTTCACAATCTGTTGTCTTGTTGGTACTCTTGTTCATGGCATTCCCTAAGTTTTGACGTATTTGCTTGTTATAGACATTCATGATAGACATGATATGTCAGTTAGCGTTAATTCTGGCTGTTGCCTGCCTTGAAATGTTGCTTTTATGACAATCTTGCTTTTCTGAGTTCAAATTCATTATAATTAGGTAGGCACAATTGTTTGGAATGGCAAAGGATGAAGATTCAGGCAGTCCCAGCTGGGCTTCTTCATTTTTCACACAGACAACGGAGGATGTGGCAAGAGCTGTTGCTGCTGCTGCAACTGTTGTTCATTCCCCAAGGCCATCTGTAATATTTTCATCTAAAGATGATCATAGTAATGGCCATATTCAGAGGTTCCAGAATCATGTTTCAAAATTAATAAAAGGCTTCTCACGCACTTCTGATGTTAAAGTTGCAAATTACAATCCTGAAGTCCTAACAAGTCAGAAGCGACAATGGGCAGCAAACTTTCAGTTGCAGTACTTGGTACAACCTTTTTCTAAGATACACAAGAAGTATATGTTCATTCTACTGAACTCATCCTCTTATAAACCAGACCGAACACTTTCGCTGCTTCTCACTATGGGGTCTTCACTCTTCAGCTTTTGGAATTATGTGTAACCTTGTTTTGTTTTCCTCTTGGTTGTTTGGTAATAAATGTCATATATTCGAATCTGCTGCTATTTCTTTTTTGGTCCAAGCCATTGTATTTAAGCTCTTTCATACGAATTACAAAGAATACTTAGGCTGCTTTTTACTTCCAGGTTTTAAGCTTATATCTCTTGGTTGTTTGGTTCTAATATCTGTTGCTTAGTTGAATCTCCTGCTATTCCTGTTTTGGTTCAATCTTGTGTATGGTCTTACTTCAAGCTTCACAGCATTCTCAGTTTTTAGGCTCTATACATTTTCTTCATGTTTTATTACCGAAACTCATGGAACTGAGTTGTCAATACATTGTTCTCATAGATTCTCTTGTTTGAGTGCACAGGACCATAGGTCTTGGAAGGAGCCAACGCGGCTGTTTGAAAGCATGGTAGTTGTGGGACTTCATCCTAATTGTGATATTCAGGCACTGCAGAGGCAATATGTTCAAAGAAAGTCTGAAGGTTCGGGTAAATTTAGAAGTGCACTTGGCCATCAGAATCAATCCCGTGTAGAACCCAGCTTTGAGCCTCAGGTTTTTACACATGTAACAGATGTTACTTTATTGCAATTATTTTTGCTGCCACCAATTCTGGACTGTTGGTACAGTGCTACTAGTACTATTACCATTGTTATTACAGTTCTATTGTAATGATCGCTACTATTTTTAATCACTTTTTTTAGTTATTTCGTTTAAATTGTCATATCATGAATGATGCATGTTTGGATTTTTTCCAGGTCTTATTTGTTTACCCTCCAGAAAAACATCTGCCTCTTAAATACAAGGATCTCGTCTCTTTTTGCTTTCCTGGAGGCCTGGAGGTTAGAAGTACCTACATGCATTTGTTCATACTTATATCTGAGCGTTTGTGTTTGTTAAAAAGTAAAACTATCGAAAAGATCAATTTTTTTTTTCAGGCCAGAATCGTTTCTAGGGAGGTTGATATTGTTGAACATCTTCTATTAAATTAATTTCAATCTGCTTATTTACTAAGAGCATGCACCCACTAATTATAAACTATACAAACCACATCTTGATTGCCTAGAGTGGTAATTACAAGGTTTTACTCATATTCGATTATGGCAAGAAGTCTCAAAGTTGTCTGTTCTCGTATTTATTTAATTCTGCGTGCGAGTATTCTATAGAAAGCTTTTGCTGGAGGTTTTTATTTCTCTTTGATGTAATTGTAGGTTCGTGCTGTTGAGAGAACCCCTTCCATGAGTGAGCTGAACGAAATTCTTCTTGGGCAGGTAGTTAAGCTACATTGTGCTCCTACTAATTTTACTTACTACTTAATGGGATTTTTCGCTTAGTTTATATTGGATTGATGCATGATTATTTATTCCTTTTGCCTCTTAACTAATTGATAATTAATCAACCTTCTGAATTGTGATAGCCATTCTTGCTTATCTGATTTCCCTGCATCAACAATTTCACTGTTGAACTCCTGGGTAGGAGAGAGTTTGTATTTTGAAATTTTCAAAGGATTTTGGATCTTCCAGAATTCTGCTTTTTGGTACATATTTTCACATAAGTAGCCATGTTCTGGTTATTTGAAATTTATGTCACAGTTGATCATGGCTTGGTCATTCTGATCCTTGATTCCAAAAGATAATATTACTTTTAGTGGATTATCAAGCTGACGGCTTGTTTCAGGATCAGATTCCCTAACCTTTTAATACTTTCTATCTATTGACCGTTTGTCTTTCTCAGCCTTTTTGATGTTGGCATTAGCAAATATCAAGCAAATTGGGGTTGTTTTGTACTCCTTTTCCCATATTGACCATGTCAAAGCCTAATAATTAAATCGTCATTGACTTCTAACTGCTGTACAACCATTCTATTTCACCTTGCTGAAGATATATGTAATCAGTTAAACCCTGATTCCCTGAGGCGTGATTTGGTTTTCTACAGGAGCACCTTAAACAAAGTGATCTGTCTTTTGTATTCAGGCTACAGGTAAGTTCAAGCAATTTCATCCTTTACTTGCTTTTTTCCAATTTCCATCCTCTTGCATTTTCTTTGTGGAGTTTCTTGCTTAGGCATGGCGTATATTTAGTTTGTGCTCTGGACCAATAAAACCAAGCAGCTAAATTGACAAATACTTCAAAATGGGACTGGAATATGAGCATGATAAGTTTTTTAACAGTTTCTGTTGCTCCATTTCACAAATTAGACCATGCACCTTGTTTGCCCAACATTTTTTCTCTTTAAAATGAGTATTTGACCATGGGCAACTATCCTAAATGAAGCATCTTTTAGTTCGACTAGTGTTAGTTTGGGTTCTTTCATGTTTGCTTTGGGTGTCCATCTGATTATGTACCTTGGCCAGTATCTACATTATGATTGTGGTCTACCTATGTGATGTAAAAAGCAGTTTTGCATAATTCTGTTGAAGCTCTGAAAACTTAGTCGAATTGTTAGATTGATGGTGTTTGAAAATATCTCATTTACTTGATTGTCTGTTCTAGGGCTAAAACTTCAAAACCTCGATAGAAGATAAAAAAGCTTTGTCAGTTTATACAGTTAAATTTTGGCCACAATTGAAGGAGTGAGTTTTACGAGGGCTCAATTCTCTTTGCATGTCATTCTGAACTTACTTTTGCCTGATGGAGACACTGTCAATCGTCAACGAAGCAATGTGTCTAGTGAGTACCTAAGAATTGATTGTTCCAATCCCTGCCTATGTTTGAAGGACAGCAAAATTTGGCTACATTAAGATCGACAGATCAAATATTGTCAACAATGAAAGCTGGTTCATTACATTGCTCCTAGCTTCCAGCTATCCAATTTAAGTGATGATGTAAATCACTGGAACATTTGATGTTCTGCTGCTTGTGTATGGGTAATGAATTGTCGTGGCACATAATGGAAGTAAATAGTCTGTTGTGTTCTGGAAAATACGTTTTTAAATAACTGGAATTTTTAGTAGATTTGTCCGGTCAAGTCTTTTCAGTTGTCAATCGTTGGTCATTGAATTGTAAAGCCTGAGGTAAAGGAACTCCTTAATAAAGGAAACTAAGATGTTGATATCATGAATTCAGACATTTTAATCTCGTATTGGTACTGATATTGTCTTTTTCCCCCTCAATAGGGCGCTGATAATTCAACACTTTATGGATGCTGTGTTTTGGTTGAAGAATTAGTACAAAAGCCCTCGGGATTGCTTTCACTGATTTCTGATAAGAACCCATCATCGTCTTTGAGACGTCATATACTAACCACTCAGAGATGTTATTGCATTCTTTCAAGGCTCCCATTTTTCGAATTGCACTTTGGTGTATTGAATAGGTGAGTGTTAATACAAAGTTTACTGATGAGAAGTAGGGTGCGTGCAGAAAGTATTTACACTTCTATTGTGCTTTATTATGTTATTCTTGGAAAAGATGGAACTGTTGACTGTCAAATCTTTTTTGTAGTCACTTCATGCTATATGAAATACTGAAATAATGTGTGAAGGAGTTTTTTCTGATTGAGAGGGGTTTTGGCAGGATTACTTTCATGTAATTCCTTAAACTTCACGTATGTGTTAGTATTTTCTATATTTTAGGGTTTCAAGGAATTATTCTGTCACTGAAGACCTTATATGTGCCTGTACTCTATATTTCTGTTTGAGAAAGTAAGTTATTTTTGCCAAGTCTAATTAAATCAAAATTAACTTTGTTTCCATTAGTTTTTATAGACTGGAATGGGTCCCTTTATGATTATGAGTTGGAAAATTTTTCCTTTTAAATTTTTGGCAGTTGGCTTATATTATTTAATTCGTGATCACGTATTCTCATACTGTTGTGCTGTGTGATTCTTATAGATTTTTATTTTCCATGTACAATTTGTCTCATCTGTGCCAATATGCTTGCAGTATCTTCACCCAAGAAAGGCTAGAGCGGTTGACAAGAAGTATTGGAGATTTAAATTTAGAATTCGTTGAAGGCAACTATGAGGAGGAACTCCCAGAGGGCAATCCTGAGAGTGGTTTGGTGAATGCTAGACCAACTGAAGACAGATCTGATGGAATGGTGGTGATCCCTGACTCAAGCTCAAGAAATTCCACACCTGAAAGCGTTTTGGGTGACGATAATAGCTCAGAGAACCAAATGGCTAATGGGAAATTGCAGAAATTGAAGGAGAGTGCCGGTGATGACATTGTTGTACCAGTGGATCCTGAAAGTGAGCAGACAACTGGTAAAGGAGAACCTGGCACGGCAAGTTCTGAGGATAGTGATTTATATGGAGATGCTTATGCAGCAAACAAGCAATCAGAAGATAGGCGTTTCCCAAATGCTATTCTGCCACTATTGCGCTGTAGCCAGTATGAAAGCTCTGAGTCTTCCTGCAGGTACTTATCATCATAACCATCCAGGTCTTTAATTAGTGTTTGTATTATCGCTGCATTATGGCATCAAGCTGTAAAGGAAATCCATACTTCCTTTACAGTTCTTAGTTATATTAGGAGTTAGTTATTGACAGCTAAATATTGGTTACAACAACGAACTCTTCTTTTACTAATGTTCTAGCATATCCTGCATGGTAGCATATCACTTTCCATGCTTATAAGTTGCCTTCTACATCAGAAAACCTTATTATCACCCAACATTTTAATAAATGTTTTGCAAGTTGTTTTATTTTGAAAAATATCTGGAACATGTTTCTTTTTTATGCGAGGGACTCAATGTAAAGGCTTTGAAAAATTAGTTTCCAACGATGTGGACACTTACGGATGTATTAGACCTGGTGATTGACATAACTTGTTCTGTGAGTAAATGAATTGTAGCCATTGCTAACAAATACAGCCGATTATTTCTGTTGGTTCCTTCTACTACAGATGTGGGCCAGTTGCTTGCCTTTATTCTCTCTTTTATGTCTTTTCATGCAACATTCTGATAGTACCGGCAAGATTAAACAACAAAATGAAGAGAAAAATTCACTGAGTATCCTCTATTATGATGGAAAAATGTAGAGAATACAATCACTAATCGGTTCTCACACACAAATAGCTACCTCCTGCTCACAAACAGAAGCACAACTCACCAAGGAGACCCTCAAACAACCTGGTTTTTGAGAGATCAGGCCCTCTCCACTAGGCTGATACTACAACCTACCTTTTTCTGCCCTCCCCAACCTATTTTATGTACACCCACTAATCTGAGTCAGGATGTCTGTTTCTCTTTTTGATACAAAGGACGTCTGTTACTCTGCCTCCTGACCCTTTTGCCCTTTGTCACCTTTCTGGTCATCCTGGGCTTTGTTACCTCTGGCCTTCCTTTCATACACACAGCCTCATCGTTTAACATCAGGCCCATCATATACACTGTTGTAATTCTGGTTTATTGGATGTGGCTTTTCTTTCGAGTCACTTTTCTGTCTCATATAATAGATTGTTTCTCATTCTTTCTAAGTGATGAAACTTTTCTACATTCTCTGCCTTTTGTAGTTTCCAAGGTTCACCTTGTGAAGACAGAAATTTTAGGAGTGATATTGATGATACTGAAACAGAAGAGGCTTCTATTTCTGGCCAAGAAGATTTAAATGATCTCCTAGATATTCTTGAATGGGCCAAGGTTTGTAGTTTAATAAATATTTAAATCTTATTTTATTGTTTTTTGGAATAATGAAACTTTTTGGTCTCTCAAATTTGCCTTAATTATCAAATTGGTCCAAGTATGATTTTTATCAATCAAATCCCTAAAGTTTAATAACCATACATAATTTGTCCTTGTAATGTTAACCCTTTTAAACCATAAGGATTAATTGAATTTGGTTATGGAACTTTAGAGACTTGATTGATAAAGATTAAACTTCAGGGATTAAATTGATAATCAAGGCAAACTTGAAGACTAAGTTTCATAATCCCTTGTTTTTTTAGGCTTTTGATTTTTGTTTTATTGTTCTAATGTCTTATAGCTGATCATGTTGTACTGGTTTCCAGGAAAATAACAATGGGCCATTACAGATTTTAAGTGAGTATTATCGTTTAGGTTGCCCCGTAAGGGGTTCATCACTTAGGTTTCATCCATTGGAGCACCTTCATCCCTTGGAATATCATAGACAAGATGAGACTGTTCTTCACCTGGCTGGTTCAACTTTTGATTTGAAATCTTTCAAAACAGGTCTGGAATGGGCTGAGGTATGTTGTTATTATATATTTGACTTTGAACACTTGCTGTCATTCCCCTTTAGATCGAGGATTTATATGTCCTTTAGGTAGTGCCATGTTCAATAGGCATTTGCTTGTTTTAACACGTTGTACTCATTTATTTTTCTCAGGCACAAAATGCACTTCTTGCAGAGGAGGAGGCAACTGCATTATCTATATGGGCTGTAGCTTGCATATGTGGTACCTTAAGACTTGAAAATGTAAATTTTATGTCCTAGTCTTAGGTTTCTATAACATTTTGGTTCTTTATCATGCTGTCTTCCAGATATTCATATTTGGAATATGAGTAAATTATTTTTTGAGGTTGTATTTCTCTCAATGGTTTGATCATGCCTTTTAATGGGATAAACAAAACAAAAAGAAAAGGAATGGAAAAAGAAAATGGGGGGGTTTTGAAATCTCATACTTTGCTCATATTGTTCAAAGCCAGCATCTATTTGATTGTAAAAATATCACTTTATTAATCGGTGTGTTTTTTACTTTCAAAGTGAAAGTTTTTATATAAATAATCAATTTACTCACTTCCCCTGTAGCCAAATTAGAGAGAAATTGGATGGCAGTCTTTTTTTCCCCCCAAAAGTTAAAACGTAATGATCTGAGTATAACAATATTGTATTGCTTTGCTAGAGGTTTTACAACTTTATGTTGGTTCTATTGATTGCCTCCATGCTTGCAGGTTTTAGCATTTTTTGCCGGAGCTCTGTTGGAGAAGCAGATAGTAGTTGTCTGTTCTAACTTGGTATGTTTAGTTTTTGCCTTATCAACAGTCTTTTTTAATATAATAATGTACCTTTTTTTTTCTGTTATTTTTCTGTTGATGTTTATCTGGATACAATATCTATGTTTTTCCCTTGGGAAGGTTTGCTATTCCTGTGTTGACTGTTTCCTGTCTTCTTGGTAATTACATTTGCTATGTGGTGTTTTTTCTTACCTGCTGATGTGCTCATTCCTATCATGTTGCTTCCTATTTCTAGGCATAAAACCCACATTCATTTTTTACCCAAAACACATGCTAATTGTCTGCACTTGCATCCTCTAGTTTCAGCGTTTCAGGAGTTATTAATTCTTGAACTGAATTAAGTATGGCTTATGTATTCCTGATTTGAATATTATTGACAATTATGTTTGATACTAAATTGTGATTGGCAATAAGCTAGCGTCTGGCTTCAATCATGTATGAGCTACTTGATAGGTATAAATCTGCAGGTGTTGGTTTATTTATTTATAACTTTTTAGTTTTCTTTGATGACCAGGGTATCTTATCTGCTTTAGTCTTATCAATTATTCCTCTAATTCGCCCGTACCAGTGGCAAAGCCTACTGATGCCGGTTTGATTTCTTTCTCTTCCAATCCTCAAAGCAAATAGTTATTTATCCATAGCACTATTCTTGCTTCCTTTCTCTTGGCATTTGATACGTGCTTGACCTGCCAGGTTTTACCTAATGATATGCTGGAGTTTTTGGATGCACCTGTTCCGTATGTAGTGAGTATCCTATTCTTCCTTACCATTTGACTTGAGGGATTGTTTTGCATTTGGGTATACATGCTCCACACTCGCCCTTGTTCATGTCCTGTACAGGATATGTCTTAGAGCTTGCAAAACTTGTATTACTTTTCATAAAATGGAAAATATAGTTGAGATTTGAGCAGCTAGGCTCCTCAGGAGCACATACCTTTCAATTTGGTTTCAACTTTTTTCATATCTTGGTTAGTTTTGTTGAAGGTATGCACTTCTGACGTTTGACTGGCTGACGAATTAATTAATAATCTAGGTTGGTGTCAAGCACAAGACAAATGAATTACAGTCAAAGTTAACCAATGTTGTGCTGGTTGATGCCAACAGAAACCAGGTTTGCATTTCTTTCTGCTAAAATTCATTTGTCTTTCCCCCTTAATTTATCATGCAATATGCATGACTTCTCCCTTTCTCCTTTATTATTTTAAAGGTTTGTATTCATACAATTGAATCATTATTTTATCATCATTCTCTATTTCAATTTATTACCTTATGAAATGCATTAAAAAAAATTATACCGCTGATGAACATTACTGCTATAGCCTTCAGATAACAATTTTGGGCCTTATTAAAAGACATATTTACTTGGGAATTTAAATTAGATTCACTTCGTGGTCTCTGGCTAATGGAATCACATGAGAATTCGTATATTTACTCAGACTCTAATCTTGCCAGAGTGTAAGGCTTAGGAAGATAGGCTACAGTTCTGGAAATAAACGCATACATACAGCTCCTTGCTCTGGTATTTGAGAGACCAGAGAGTCTCAATTCTCAAACATCACTAGTATATGTCTTGCCTCTCACTGATCCAATCACCCAAGATATACTCCCCCTCTCGCTCAAACAGCACCCTCCACAAGGTTTCATCCTTGATCCAGTGGTTATGGGGCCTGTCAGACGAGATGTCAATAAAAAATAAGAGAAAATAACTGAAAGCTTTTTAGAGGCTAGTCTCTCCTAATCCTAATTCACTCACTGATTTCTTACCCTATTCTGACCCAAAACCATTGTTTTTAAAACCGGACCGGACCGGCCGGTCCGACCGGTGAACCGGTGACCCGGCCATGTGTCCGGTCCGGTTTTCTTTTTTTTTTTGTTTTCAGTTAACCCGGGTTAACCCGGGTGACCCGGGATTAACCCGTCCAACCCCTCGGTTCAGGCGGGTTGGGCGGGTTGAAATTTAAAAAATAATAATAATAATTAATTAAGATATATATTTATTTTTAACATGATAATGATTAATGATAGGTCAATATGAGTCATAGGGTAAAAAAAATATACTTATGTCAGATAAGGGGATGAAACAAGTAAAAAGAAATCAAAAAGTATAAATATATATTATATTATATTATTTTTTAATTTGAATTATTTAATTAAATAATTTTTAAAATATATCACTTTCATTTATTATCTTTTATTTTAAAATAAATTTTTATTTCTATTATTTTAACTCATTGAAATTTTTTTATCATTTAGTTAACCTTATTTTAAAAAAATATAGAAATGTTGTTATACTTTATTATTGTTAGAATTATTGTTATATGTTATATGAGATATTAAGACTTGGATATGTATGAACGTATTGAGAATTAATACATTTTTTATTTAAATTATATTATTTTATTATGACCGGTCTGACTCCGGTTTGACCCCCGGTTGAACCCATGACCCCTGACCCCTGAGTTTGGCCGGTTCAATGACCGGTCCGGTTTTCAGTACCTTGCCCAAAACCCACAAGATGTAATGTACTTCATCCCCACTCTCCCACTCATGCCTCACAAATCCCCTGAGAAGTCAGCCTTTGCTCAATGGTTATGGGGCCCATCACTGACCAGGAAAACTAACCTGGGTAAGGCTTGAAACTGAAAATTATATTAGAATTAGAAATTGATAAATGGACACGGTAGTACTATGAAATAATAATTATATTACACAGTGCTGAACTGCTGATAACACAATAGTTATAGCTTCTGAAATTGTCCAGAATATGGATTGCCGATTAAAACTACTACTGTTCCGGTAGAAGCAGAGGTTTTACTACATATGCTGCAAGGGTTAGGGAGATCTTCCTATTGCTCTAGGAAATAAGGTTCTCCTTGTGCTAGAATATTTAACACATGAAACCCAAATATCAAAATGAGACACACAGACCATGAAAACCTGACTAGGAATTATACTAAGTACTATGATGCATTTGATTTTTAAGAAAATTTTCTAGTTTAATATCTTCAGGGTAGTTTTCAATTGAGAATTTCTTTATTCATTAAAATATGTTTGTCTTCATTTTTAGTGACGATCAGTTTGGCCCTCTACATTTTTATGAATACCATTCTCCAATTAACACTCAAAAGTATAATTTTTATCTGAATAATTACTTCCTTGGTTCAAAGTCTTAATCCACTTGAACCTTATTGCTTTGGAACGAACCTTGTTTCCATTTTAAGTTGGTACTCAATCAATGGCTGTAAATTGCCCCTTGATACCAGATACAGAACAGCAGAGAAATGAAACTTTCATGGCTGCAGAAGATGAGTGCATTTTTACTGGCCAAAATAACAGTTCAGCAACATTATATAATATACGAAGAAGAAAGAAACCAGAAACAAGAAAACTGCATGGCAGCAAACGAAAAGTTGACTATGACAGATAATTGGGAAAAATAAATGAGTTGAGGGAAATAATGGAACTGCAAAAATGCCTCTTCCTTTTTGTTAAGAACAAAGAAAATGCCAATTTATTGTTCTTAAAATTCTTGGAGACGTGAACTTAATTTTCGAAGAAATGAAAATGGTATTAGTCAAACAAACAACTTTTTACGTCTGTTTTTGGTTTTCAGCGGAAACAAAATAGGAAGTTGTAAAGCAAACAGGCACCAAAGATTAAGTTGAGTGAAGCAAAGCATTTGAGCAGTTTACTAAACCAACCAATGCTAAATGTTTTTAACTTCATTAAGCTTAACTAATATCACAAGGAGGCCTGATGTTGAAACTCTTTGGTGTTGGATATTAGAACTATGCTTCTTTTATTCTTGTTTTCCACGTGAACATTGTTGAGATGAGTTGTTTAATCTCAGGAGCCAGGAGGTATTTGAAAAAAAAAAAAGAAAAGAAAAGAAAAACAAACAAGTAATTATAAAAATATTCTGATTTTTTGGCTTCTGTTCCATCCCTACAAGTGTGTGGTTTCTGATCTTACTGCTGTTGTGTTGCAATAGGTGAAGTCACCAACAATGCCGCAACTGCCACGACAGAAAGAACTATTCTCTGCTTTACGTCCTTACCATGCAAAACTTGTTGGGGAAAGTTACTTGGCTAGAAAAAGGCCAGTGTATGAGTGCACTGAAGTGCAGGTATGCTTTTGAGTGTGTTGAACGGTATCATGGATGTCTGTCATGTTGCGATGCATTCTATGTCAAATGATTTAAGAAACAAACTAAATTCTTGACCTTATAATTTTTCATCTTGTTGTACATCTTCAGAAGAATTACAAGGGTATTTAAATTTGTGAAGAGCTTTTCTTTGTTGTTACGGTCTGTCTCATATTATTAATCACCTTGTATTCTCGCGTGTTGATTTCCCTGCAGGTTGCAGCTGCCAAGGGGTTTCTATCAGTGTTGAGATCTTACTTGGATTCTCTTTGCTGTAACATTCGATCTCACACAATCACTAATGTACAGTCTAATGATGATAAGGTCTGTATTTTCTCCTCAAGCTAAATCAAGATTGACATTGATTTGATACCCATCATTCTCTCTCATTTCTTGTCACCGTTTTAGCATGTCTGGAAAGTAAGGTGCAATCTATGTAAACAAACAACAGAAGTCCTTAGGGATGAAAATGTGGCTATAACGCCACTGTAAAACCTTATTTTGCTGATATATATTTATTGGCAAAGTCGATGAATCTAGTGATTTTACATGCACAATCCTGGAATATGTAAGTTTTAGGTGTGCACCTCTCATTAGGCAATTTATGCTACTGAATCATTATGTCTGTCTCCCTCGGAGTTTGACAAGGGATGAGAGGCAGATAAACTTACTGCAAACCGCCGGATTCAGTTAGCCAGAAAAAGGGCGATATATATAAAACCAATATTAGAGACAAGATTGTATAAAAGATGAAACTTGTATCCGAAGGTTATGCATTGAGCCATGCCATCATTTGTGAACAGACTCACATTGCATGGAGCATATGTGATGAGTATTAATTTAGATCTTGTTCCAATTAACTTGTTCCTCCAGGTATCCTTGCTTTTGAAGGAAAGTTTCATTGATTCGTTTGCATATCGTGATCAGCCTTTCATGAAGGTTTGTTTCCTGAGCTTCCATCATACCTTGTGTTTTAATTTTGTGGAAAAGAAATTCCCTGCTTGTAAGCTCTGATATGAACTAGCTTCCAAAATCTTTAATATAAATATATAATGTGAATATAATAGAATTTTCTGATTTAATCTTCTGGAGATCACAACTTGCTGGCCTTGAGCAGGAATGTTGAAACAATATAAGTGTGCTGACTAGGGACTTGCAAGCCTCCCTGTCAGGGTTCCTCAGAGGCATGCATATCAATTTTGTACGCCTTGTGTGTGGTCTGACCAAAATTTCTTTTTGTTTTTTTTTTAAATGGGTCAATATTAATTAAAGTATAGATTGCTATTGCTTTGACTTGTTACTCTGTGAATGTCTATATGTCAAGAATGAGGCTGACCCCAATAGGTGATGATCATCCTTTTACTGCATCCAGCCATAACTATAATCTTAATTTCTGGAACAACTTTGTGCTGTTTAGATTTGAATATCTTAAATAAGCTAGAAACACGATTGCCATGTTCTATTTATTTGGTTCTACTAATGTGGATTGTCTTTTCTCCATTTGTTCCTTGTGGCAAACAGTTCTTCGTAGATACACAGCTATTTTCTGTCCATACAGATCTTGTTCTCTCTTTCTTCCAAAAAGAATAGGGCTGCCTGCCAAGCTAAAACTTATTGGAGCAGTATGGTCTTGTTGCAGAGTATAAACATAAGTTAATCATTGTATAATTTTTCTTAAATTTATGAATGGGTTTAATTTGTATAATTTTTCTTGTTCTCTCCCTCATGTGTTCCTAGTTATATATATATATATATATATATATGATGTGAAAGCTCTAAATTTTTACAAGGGGTTTCATTTTATGTGTATGCGACAATTTTCCCAGCACTATCTGTGGAGTGTATCATGCCAAATATAAATATTTCCTCCAAATTTTCATTTTTTAATTATTCTTTGTTATAATTTTCATTTTATTTTGTATCAAAGGTATATCTCAAGCTCGTGCCTGCGTCCGACGGACTCCTTTTTCTTCTGTAGAGATTACGACTGCGACCGACTCGCCTATACCAACCTCCTGAAAAGCCTAACAAGTGACAACTGAAGTAGGGCCCAAGCCTATCATCAATCAGCTTGAAATATAAAAATATAAATGCAGTGACAATAGCAGTCTTAAACTCATATCTTTATTTCAGTCCCCAAAAAAAAAAAAAAAGAAATCGTATCTTTATGGTGTCGAAATGATTATTAATCCGGCGTGCAATGCAAAACGTTAGGTAGAAAGGGTGAAAAGTAACTAAGCATTTTTGTCACATTTTTCTAACAGAATTTTTTCTTTTTGTAAACTCGATTGAAAGATTATTTTTGCTCTTCAATTTCACCTTATGAGTTATTGGACATTTTACACTCAACAATGAATTAATTTTGTTTATCAACATTGAGATTGAGATCTCGTTTGGTTATTAAAAATGAATGAATTGAACAAATAAAGATAGAATTAAGGTGATCAAAAGAGATGATGAATTACATTCATAATAGAGAACTAATTTAGTTTATATAGTTGAAAATCATGATTCATGAGATTTTTTAAGGATGTGATGATTTTTACATTTGTAACATATATTTATAAGTTTTATTATGTTTATCATAAGAGAGAAAAATGATTTAGTTTATTTTTGTATTGATTTTTTCAATCAATTACATTTCATTCTTTTATAATAACCAAAAGGGACCTGAAAGTTTTCTCCCTCATCACTTTAATACTAAAAATTTCTAACTTTCATTTGTCATCAGAGAATTTTACCATTTTTTAATATTTTTTTTATTTTTTTATTGTGTTAAGAATTATTTTTGCCTGTTAACTTTTATCCAAAATATTAGTAGGCACCCTTAACTCAAATACTTATTATAGGGTTAAGGGTAATTGTTATCTTTTAACTTTATTAGAAAGGTCACTAAACATTTTAAATTCAATTATAAGTTAATTTTATCTTTTAATATTAAATATTTTCTTTCTTATTATCCTAATATTAAAAACACCTCACATCCGTTTCATATTAATGAATCCCACCATTTTTTTAATATTTTTTATTGGGTTAAGCGTATTTTTGTCCCTCCACTTTTACTTGAAGGGCACCCCCAACTCAAATGTTTTGTAATAAAAAATATTAAAAAATACAATGTGGAGCCCTATTATCAGGAGATGGTGAGAAAATGATAAAATCATAAGAGAGAGAATATTTAACATTGATGGACAGAACCGATCCATAATTAATTTATAATATCCAAAATTTAGTAATCCTTTGAGTAAAGTTGGGAGAGAAAAAACACTCTTAACTTTTATAAGTTTATTTATTCTTCTAGTAGTCACATTTATAATTTTGTCATGAATCCTTAGCATTTATTGAAGCTTGATCTTAGAGAGTACTAATATTTATTACTCATGTTATTACAAGTTACTATTCAGCATTTCAAGGAGTACTGCTCATGCTTGTTGTAGTTACTACAGTATTTCGAGCTTTTTAAAAAAAAAAACTACTGACGAATACTACAGATCCCCCAAAAGAAAAGTACATTGAATTCTGATTTCTGATACACAGCGCGCGCGCGCGAGGGTGTTAGTGAGGAGTGAGTGAGGTATTAATGGGATAGTAAAGAGGCCTGGTGATGGTGGGGTGGTCCATGAAATGAGCAGGAAGGTGACAGAGTGCAGGGTAGCTTTACAACCAGATGGCTACAATAAAGACAGTGGGATTTGTATGACTTTAATGGAAACATTTTGGTGTGTTTTCGTACCTTTTCATCCTCAAATGTCCCCTTGTTCTTGGTAACTTGGTTTGCTTGCTTCCCCCTCTGGTTTTTCACATTACGCCTCTTTTTCCTTGTACTTTGCTTCTCTCTCTCTCTCTCTCTCTCTCTCTCTCTCTCTCAATTCCATTTTTGAAGCTGCATGCTTTGCTTTCCCCTCCTTTGAGTCCAAACCCCGTTGCTGTTCCTCTCATCCTAATTTTAAGGACAAAAGTTTTTAAAATCCTATTCAACTCTAAATATAAGATAAATATATATATATATATATATATTAATTAATTTTTTCTTAATATTTTCCTTCCTTAACTGCACTAAGTTGCAATTTCTAGATAAATTTTATTTTGGTCATTAATTTTAGTATAGGGTAAATTAGAAAATTAAACAATTTTTTTTTTTACAAATTTAGGAATATTAACGATTATTTGTTGAAAACTATGAAGTCAGTGAATTTTATTCTATAATAAGAGGATGAAACAGTGATGCACTGATCACATGAAGAGTCATATCTAGTAATTAATAGAATTATATGTTAACAATTCAAAAATTATACTTCGTAAAAATATAATTTTGAATTCGTATATTTTACTTACGTTTTATTATAGGTTTCTACACTTTTTTTATGTGTGAATATTTTAGGTTCTTATATTTTTATTTTTTGGTGTTGGAGGAGAATACAAAAAAAAAATGTAGGGACATATAGCAAAACACGAGCAAAATATAAAAATTTAAAATTATGTTTTTCCTTATACTTTTATAAAAACTATTCTGGATTTTAATGGGCAGTATGATTTTTATAATTCTCAAACTTGTTTTGTCCTATATTTTTGGACTGCGATATATAAGACTCACTTGACATTCTCTGTTACTCCCTTAACTCTTTATTTGAATGTTTGGATGGGGAGACAACATAGGATCGAGAGAAGTGGAGGAGACGTGATAGAAATAAAAGCAAATTTTTTTTTTTTGGGGCTTGTTTGGATAACGAGAGAAAATAATAAGGAAATAACAGCAGGAGGGAAAAACTGACAAGTGGTCCACTTTATTTTCTCCTTACAGTTTTTTTAAAGAGATTTTGAAGAAAAAACTTGCTTTTTAAGATTATAACCAATGAGAGAACAAGAGACATAAAGCCTCATCTTCTTTTCATGTGAGAATTACTGTAATATAATTGTGACATTAGTCGCTTTTCTTTTGTATATGCTTACTCTTATTCTTCTAGACATGATAAGAAACAATATTTCATATTCTCTTTTTTCTTCCCTACGTTTTTCCCTCCAATTTTTTCCCTCCATTTTATCTTCCCATCCAAACTTATCATAAATTTTCAAGCAGTCCATTATAGGAACCAACAACAAAAAAACACAATAATTAAATCCTAAAACATAGAATTAAAAGTGGAAGAAGAAATTCTTTTTTGATGGCATTGGAGGATGGCATGTCTTCAATTTTCATTTAATTTTCTCTAATCATGCATTTCCATTTCAATTTTTTCCTAAGAATAGCAGTCAAAACTTGCCTACGGTGCTTTGATTGCTTTTTAACCAACTGATTACATATATCTCAATTAACAAGGTATATCTCCTCATTTAAATTTAAATATTAATTATTAAATAACATTTTATTGTCTTCATTACTCATGGAATCTTATTAAAGCATTTAAATCATTACTTATCACTTTTACATTTAGCAAACTCATTTTTTTTTCCAATTTATGCATAACATGCTTGCGCAATAGTCCATGTTACTGTTTCATGTATTGTTTCAATTCTATAGGATGTCTACAGAACAAGAAACTAATTTTGTAATATAGAGTTGAGTTGCATTTTTATCCTTGAGTTTTTTTTCAAGGAGCATTGAGCTGTACTGATAAACGGGGTAATTTTTTCCTGAACTATTTATTTGAGTAGAGTTGGGCACCCTACAAAAAGAGTTTTTTGCTTCTTGAAAAAATAATTTAGAGATAAAATTACTTCACTTATTAGTACAGGGTGTCCAACACTCTTTGAAGAAAAATTAAAGGTTAAAAATGCATCTTAATTTTTTAATATATGATAGTATGATGCGTTATACTATATGCTAATTGTATTATTCAATTGACACTGCAGCTTTTTGCCAGAAAAATATCCACTGTCTAAAAAGGTCGTTCATCCTTATGCGTAACAAAACCTATGAGGTATTTTTGAAAGCTAAATTAAAATATGCCACAAGACAAACTGTAATGAATTCATTTGGTTTGATGCTTGTCTTCTAAATTATGTTCTTGAATTTGAGTTTTGTTTTATTTTAATACAAAAATTGCAATAATGTGCAGAAAACTTGCTAATTATTTATGCTAGCTGTTTCAATGATAGCCCTATTTCTTTCACTTAGAAAAGGTTACATATTTGAGCTTGACATCCACATATTTGTATGTCTCCCTTTTTTTATGAAAAGTAATTAGATTAGAGAGATTTTTTTTAAAGAAAAAACTAGTTAGCTATATTCACTGCTATAGAAATAGTTAAATAAAACGCCAATTACTTGATAGTTATTATATAAAAGTGACAAATAAAAAAAGACACTAAATACTTGATAATTATTTTAAAACAATTATCAAGTATTTAAACATATACTTGACGATTATATAATAATAACTATCAAGTATATGTTTTATTTAAATTTATGTTGGATATAGATATATTTGATACTTGTCTTGTAATAACTGTTGTATATGTGTGTGTGTGTATATATATATATTTATATTTGACAGTCCTTACATGACAAGCATGACATATATAATATTAATAATAAAATTATTTTAAAAAATATAATTATTTGACACTTGTTTCAAATATATTAACATCTTATCTCATAGTTGTTTCAAAATAATTTTAAATAAGTAATACTTGATGATTGTTTTAAAATAATTGTTAAATATTATGTTTTAAAATCCTTTCAGAAACCCATTTTCATTTTGCAAAGGACTCCTTGGCTTCTAATCGAAACACTTCCATAACCCACTGGAAACACTTTTTTGGCCATTCAACTACCATTTTACCATCAATCAACCTTGTCGTGATTTTGGCTTGTTTTGCGTGATTTTGGGTTCATGTTTCTTCCTCTCTCTATTCTCTATGCTTCATCTCTTTGATTTGAGGTTGGT